TCTCCCCAAACCCTTTCGTCCCTCCAAGCACATCCACTGCAAGGCTGGCGGGGTCGACGCCCACCTGCCCCTGCGAACGGGCTTCCTCACAGCCCTTCCCATGTCCAGGCTTCACATCCTTCATCTCTGAGCCACAAGCCTCCCACTGTGGCTCCACCCACCCCACTCCACAGGTTTTCATCTGACTTTCCCCACCTCTACCTAACGCAGTGGGGACAGGAATGGGGGTGGCGGCATGAGGAAGATCAGAGATAAGCACTGTCTCAGCGCTGACCCTCTAGCGCAGGCCCGAGGGGAGTCAAGCGGAGGAAAAGGTGAGAGCCCTGAGGTACTCCAGGTCAGGAGCACCTGGGGATGCGTACACCCCGTCCAACAACCACACTGGTCCTCACAGCATCCCTGAAGGCCCGTGCTTCTCAGGCCCACTCTGAGCTCTACCACACCTCAACCTACTGTCCTTGCTACCTTTGCAAAGCCCCACTCTGTCACTTTCAGAGCTAACCTCTAACCCCACTTCTCTGTGACAGTTCCCTGTGCTCCGGTTTCCTTTCAGAGGCAGTGAGGGTGGGACTAAGCAGAAAGGTCAGGGGTGGGGGGTTGGGGAGGTAGAATCTGGCCCAGCTCTGCCCTGTGGGTAAGTCTCCAACCTAAAGTCTCTCAACTAAAGTCTCTCAACTAAAACAATGAGATCTCCCAGTGATGGACCTGCATAGACCCCATCCCAGGTCTAAAATCTGGTGATTCCCATTTCAGTGTGTCATCTCAAATTCTGACCGTAATTATAGTAAGGGCTACTAGTTTGGGGTTTGTATTACATGCTGGGAACCAGCTTAATGTTTTAGATGCATTTTACCTATTTACATTTAGATAAAATCATCACATTTTACCTTGCAACAACCCAAGGAGGCAGTATTATGATTATATTACCCCACTCACAAGGAAACTGAGGTTTGGAGAGGTGAAGTAACATCCCCATGGCCACACAGCCACAAGACTAACTGCAAAGCCCATGTCCCTAACCACTGTACAGCGCTGCCCTCTGCTACGCTCTGCTTGGGCAACAGAGACCCTGGTGGGGTCCCTGCTCATACAAGGAGGGAAATGGGCTTGGTTAATATTGTCCTCATTTTATAAGTAAATTTTATAAACCCCCATCAGAGGTAAAGTGGCTTGCCCAATGTCCCACGATGGCAGGGTCGGGAATAATAACCCAGGCGCTTTGGCTTCCGCGGTACCCTGCTGTGTCTGCTAACTTCGCTGGCTTCGGAAGGCAATAAACAGACCTGGCTCTACTCTGCTAGCATAATAATTGCTTTGTCCTTCTACTTTTGAAGGTCTTTCTCCTCTTCTCCAACTAGCTATAGTCTGAGTGATCCTTCTAAACAAGGGGTAAGTTAAATTTTAGTCTGGCATGAAAGAGCAGCGTGTTGGACAAGAACAAGGAAACCAACTCCTCCACAAGGAAAACGGACTCAGAACACACTGTACCAACACCACCACCATCTCCATACAGCCTGCCACCCATCTTCATGAGATGGCCACAACATGAGCAGGTATTTTCCTATAATTTACACAAAAACATCAAGAGAAAGAATGGTTTCATTTGCCCTTTTCATTCCTCGACAGGGCAATTCTTAACTAGGAAGAAATTATAGTTTAACTCCCATTCGAGGGAGACGTGAGTTCTCAAGCACACAGACTTTGCCAAGTGCCACGCTTCTAGGCGAGGACCTAGGAGGGACACTCAGTGCAAGTGACACTGCAGATGTGCCCAGACACCTGCCACCTGTGCAGGAAACCTCCATCGGCAGGCTGCTTCCAGCCAGCTCCCAGTAACTTGCCATGTGCCACCAGTGTTCAGTGCTGGTAAATAACCTGGGGATCGCTAGGGTGACCCGGCAATGCCGGGACAGCACCATCCTGGCGTGTCTTCTGCAACCCAGGCCAGGGACGGGGGATCTCCCCACCAGAGATCAGTAGAGGCAGATTCTTCACATTCTTCCCGACACAGAAGAATATCACCCTGAGTACGTTCCAGAGGACAAAGGGTGGGTCCCACAAATGAAGACTATTTCAAAGTCTGGGGTGAGTTTGGGACATAGCAGTCAAATGTGCGGCTACCCGACATCGTTTGGGTCACCTTCCCCTGTTTGCAGTTTCCCACGTCGTGAGTCCTGCCATCTCATCTTGCCATAATTCGTTTCCCCAGCATCCCGTGCTGTTGGAAATGTGGTGCAGAAATGTGATCAAGGCTGCATCTGTCAGATGAACCCATGGCTGGCCAGGTGATAGTTCAGAAGGGAACAAAGTGAGAAGGAATGCCCCAGGATCTACTCCAGGGAGCTTGCAGCGGGCTCCCTGGCTCTTCAGGAACGGCTGCAAAGGGACTTCCAGCATCTGGACACTGGAGTTGACAGTGCGAGCTGTAGTCTCAGGGCCAGGTGACGGAGCAACCCTGCAGTGGGTGCTACTCCAGCTAGAGCCAGTGTGTCAGCCTGGAACTGAGGATGTCCTTGCAGGAACCAACGTATGTCCCCACCAGTACGTATGTACATCTTCAGGAGAACCTGAAATGCCATCTCCCAGAAGCTCCTGGGACGGAGGAGGATCACAGACTTGGGAACCAGTTACACCTGTGTTCAAACGCGGCTCCACCATCTACCGGCTCTGCCTCCCTGGACGTGTGATTTAACTCCTGGCCCTCGGTAGTTTCAAATGAAAAATGGAGACGATAAAATCCAATTCCATGTTTGTAATATTAACAGAATGAACTATTAAACAAACATACTGTGAAATAAGGTGCCTAACACAGTGGGTGGCATAGCAGGTGCTCCATAAAGCTTTATTTTCTTCCACTCTTAACTCTTGATATTGTTATCTAATATATTAACACTTTTCTCCTAGGCTGCCATCTCCAAACCAGTCAAGTTTTGATAAGAAAGAAAAAATATCAAACAGGTCATGGTCTTCAAGCACAACACGACTAGAGACATTTTTCAAATTGGCAGTGATCTGCTCATAACACTCCTGGGATCTGTTTGATCAATGAGACACGAAGTCATCCCATTAGACTGTCATCCAGCCTGAATGCTGACATGTTAAATAAAAGGATGTCATTGTCAAATACTCTGTAAAAACTACAGCAATGGATTTCCTCAAATCTATCAGTCTTATAATGTCAGTTTTTTAAATGATGATGAGTAGAATCTGATGTGACTTAATAATGATATGCTTCACGTGTGTACAGCCTATGGCAGTTTCCAGGGTCTTTTGTGGCTCTTGGAACCACTCAAGAGACAGGAGGGGCATCCTCAGAGAACCTGCTTGGTTCCTACCAAGGACCCTGGTCTTGGTGCTCAAGTTCATGCCATTCAGGAATACATTCTGGGACCCTGCCATTCACCTGTCCACCAGTGCTCACTAAGTGCCTATAACATGCTGAGAAAACACTAGGCTGGATATTCAGACAGGCCCAGTTCTGACCTAGCAGAGTTTCAGTAGCAGAAAAGAGGGACAATTAAGGGAGAAAAGACCATAAGTTGTGATGGGTGTTAAAGCAGGGGAAACTCAGGAAGTCATCGGTACACACTGGTGTCAGGTAGGAAACAAACACTAAGAAGCTTCCCATTTTTCCTCCTTTTTTTGAGCCATTCATGAAAAATCAGCAGTCTCAGATAATATTCATCTGACTGTAATATATTTTTAAGTCAGGCAAGGTAGCTTCAAAACAAATTTTGGGGAGGTCCTTGGACACCGATGAAGATGGCTGGGCATTATTTGGAAAAGAACAGGGAGCCTCTGAAGGTGTCTAAGGAGGAAGGCGATAAAATCAGAGATAAACTTGGCTCTAGATGAATGAGGAATAGAAAGGGAGGTGGGGGGCCCCCATCCAAACAGTATTTCAATAATCTAGTAAATATATAACAGTAGGGCTTCCCTGGTGGCACAGTGGTTGAGAGTCCACCTGCCGATGCAGGGGACACGGGTTCGTGCCCCGGTCCGGGAGGATCCCACGTGCTGCAGAGCAGCTGCGCCCGTGAGCCATGCCCGCTGAGCCTGCGCGTCCAGAGCCTGTGCTCCGCAACGGGAGAGGCCACAGCAGTGAGAGGCCCACGTACCGCAAAAAAAAAAACAAAAACAGAAACAAACAAACAAACAAAATATATATATATATAACAGTATCTTACAAATATTAATGTCTTGGTTAGGGCAAATTTGCCATGGTTATGTAATATGTTAACATTATGGGAAGCTGGGTAAAGTGTATGTGGGAAATATCAGTGCTTTATTTTCAACTCTTCTGGAAGTTAAAAATCATCTCAACGTGAAAAGTTTAAAAAATCTGGAAAAGGATAAAACAATTAGTAGAAAAAATAATCTAATAAATAGGGGAATGGCTAATTTTATGACAATATTCCTACAGTGGTTTTGCTTTCTGTACACATCTCTGATTTTTTATGTGGACTGCTTTATTCAGACTCACAGCAATCAGAAATATTAAGCAATCCTATATGTAAGCTAAAAGTAACTTGATGTTAATTAACATAATTAAGAATTATTTTCTCCACAGTAGTGAGTTCAAAAGATGATACAGTATAAAATGATCTGCAGAGGCATCTGCCAAGAAAACTTAATATCCAGTAATTGATCGTTAAAAACAATATATAAAACAGCTGTCAATCCACTAAAATCTGGAAAGTACTAATTTAAGTATATTTGGTTTAAAAAAAAAAAAACAGACTATTAAATACCGTGTGCTTAATTAAACCACACCAGAAATTTTCCTACTCCTGAGTAGCCTTATCAAGAAGAGCTACTCAAATTCAAAAGGGTCTGCAGTTACTACTGGTGAATCACTTGCACCTCCCTTCTTTCTGTGTGACTGTGAGTGAAGACAAGGTCAAAGCTATGGTGGTTTCTCCAAGATCTTTTAAGGCCTCAATGAACCCCCATTTCGTGGAAAGTTGGGACCAGCTGGGAGGGACAGTTGTCGCTCTTACCCAGTGTCATCCTGGAAGCCTTCTAACTCGTCCCGTTGCTCGGCCAGGGTGGCCTCCAAGTCCAGGTAGGTGCCGTTGTGGGAGAGCTGCAGCGTGCAGTCATCTAGCTGCAAGAGAAAGAGTCTGTTATGCCCAGCCTGCTCCTGGGATGGGGATCTGTACAGGGAAATCACATCAGGTTGCCCTCATGTGTTTTTTAAAATCCAGCATTATTCTGAAATTTGGATCCTAACTGGAAGAAGTAGCATGTTCGTACAAATAGATTGGAAGCAAACCGCAAAACAGGTAGACAGAAATGGCACCTACTAAGGGAGTGATATTGACAGGGCACCCAATACGTGGACAGGGGAGAGAAGTACCAGGCACTGGGCTAACGCCACTTTCCACTCTGAGGGGCCCAGGGGGAGCCATGGATTTGGGGAGTGGAAACCAAGATGCCGATGGGACCACTGATTGAGAGACACAGAGTTTAAAAGGCAAATCTGGTGGAGAAAACATGCTGTTTCCTTTGACTCAGCGAGAAGCCTACTTATTCAGAGTCTATGGTCATACCTGGGCCATTATAATTAATAGTCGCTCAATAAACATTTTTACAATTGAACAAAAAGAAACATTATCCATCTGAATGACAATATATCCAAATTACAACACACCAAAGAGGACCTTAGGTCTCTTTGTTACTAGCCTCATTTTTTGAAAACTTATTTAACAAATCTTACATATTGTTAATTACATCCCATTCATAATTCTAAGCACTTTACATATGTTACATCATTTGATTCTCACACAAACACTTCACTTCTTTTGTTATCCCCATTTTACAATGAGGAAACTGAGGCACAGAGAGAGACTAAGTTACCTGCCCAATGTCACATCTGATAAATGGTGGAGCTGGGATTTGGATATAGGTGATTTCAGTCCAGGTCATGCTCCTGACCACTATGTTCTGCATCTTCTCTATGGCCAGAGACCTTCTAAGGACTTGAAAATATGCTTTCAAAACACAACTTATGTCATCTGAGTGTTCTGGTGTGGCCAAGGTAACGCCACGTATTTACCAACCCCATTCCCTTTTCCCCCTGGGAACAGAGACCACATATCCCAGGCCTGTAGTTGGGCTACTACCATGTAACTGAGTGCTGACCACTGGAATATCAGTGAAAGGAAAGAAAGGTCCCAACCAGCCTGGCCATAACACCCCTGCAGAACCATCCACCTTTCTTCTCGTGCCTGTGGCTAGATGCAGAGGAGCCAGAGAAGACTCCCAAGTCTGGAAACCGACAGACCCTGGAGAGAAACAGCTCAGGTTCCTGAATCACTGCATGGAAGAGAGCATTCTGCTGCCTAGCCTCCACTGACCCATCCTGGACAGTGACAAGAGCAAGACGTGAGCCTTTGTGGCATTACATGACATTTAGAAAAACCAATACACTTAAAACTACAGGAAAGTAATTTTATCAAAGATTAACATTATGAGGAAATCCAAGTGTATAACTTCATGCTTCGTTTCTCAGGCTGTAAGGACGGCTCCGATTATTCATCCACTTGGGTGAGTTAAGGCTCTTATTCCAAAATGCCAGGAGATTGAGGAAAAGTGGAGGCAAATACGTGGCCACTTCAAAACATCTAGGTAAAGGCCTGATAATCCTCCTGGTGTAAGTGAGATTTCAAACAAGGAATTAGTCTCCTTTGATAGAAAAGCTTTGCTTATTATCCTCAACAAGAGAAACGCAGACTGTCAACTTGTCCAGAATCAGCATCTATAACAAGCTGCTAATTCTTGCAGAAGCCCCGCAGTTCCGTGTTTCTGGTTATCCTCAACAGAATGAAAGGAATTTGTTCTTTATTATTTGTAAGAAATAGTTAAATCACTTGAAGGGGTTAATCCTATTTGATTCACTTGTTTTATTTCTCTAATAACAAACTATTAAAGGCGTGCTGGTGAGGGCCAGCATTCCTGACTGGCATTTTACAGATGGATCATCCAATCTGAGAAAGCAGAGACCAAACTGGCCAAACTCACTGTGCTGTGGTACGAGAGGTGTGCCCAGGGTTTGGGGGCAACACACAGGGGAGCTGGCTTCCCTGCCTGCGGAAGCAGCAGACAGGAAGGATTTCCTACAGAAGGCGTCTCCTGGGCTAAGGGTCTCCTGCGGCCTGAAATCAGACTTTTATCATTGCTAGGTGGAAAATTCCACTGGAAACGGAACCCGTTACCATGTACACTGGACCATGTGTAAGTAGAGCTGTAATCACTGCAGCTCATTCTTGCTTTTAACTCCTATTGACATTTTCGACTAATAAAGCTTACATGGTCCGTTCTGTTGATAGTATCAACACTTCTGCTCATTTTTAATCCCACATATAATCAACAGACTAGCAGATGGGGATAATGAAAGCCCTTTAAGCCATAACAGTTTCTTTTGTCTCCATCCCTGGAAATGTGTGAGTGCAAAGAAAGTCCAAAGAAAGAAGCTTTTGGATAAAATGTTTCTGCTTCCCCACTAGGGGGTCGAAGGCATTCTGAGGCTGTGGTCCACACTCAGGCCAGACAGAGAGAACCGAGTCCAAGAGGAAGTACTGCTGTGGTGTAGAGAGGCAGGATGTGCATGTGTATGTGGTATATATATTCCACCATGGCCCGTTTCAAGCTACCACCGTGAAGTCACTGAGCGTGGAGCTAAAAAAAGTTACACAGCAGCTCACCAGCGTATAGTATTTTTATCATACAGATCCAGGAGATGTAAGTAACCTCCCAAGCATAGGTAGCAGAAAAATGTAATGAAATAATTAGGCAGTGACATGTTTTGAGTATTTTTTTTTATTGAAGTACAGCTGATTTACAATGTTGTGTTAGCTTAGGTGTAGAGCAAAGTGATTCAGTTATACATATATATGTACATATATTTGAATATTTTTTACCTTTGTTTCTTTTTTTAACTGTTTATTTTTATAAATATCTGTTTTTGGGGTTTTTTAATTTTTAATTGTTTATTTTTATAAATATCTGGGGGTTTTTTAACATCTTTATTGGAGTATAATTGCTTTACAATGGTGTGCTAGCTTGTGCTTTAAAACAAAATGAATCAGCTATACATATCCATATACCTCCTTTACCTTTGTTTCTAATGTAACTTTTATTCGTTATACATTTATGCAGGATAATTTAACTTTTAATAATGGCTATATTGAACAAAATTCCTGAGATTTATTGATCAGCCCTTTCGAGCCACCCAGGCCAGTCCCAGCACACGCTGCTTCTGGCCCTCCTGGGTCATGAGCTTGAGGCGCCTCAAGGGGAGACTAGCAGGGAGCAGACGGAAGCCTGAGCGACCCTGTCCCGGGCTTTCAGCCCTCACCACCCCCCAGCCCTACGCTCTTCTCCTCAGTTGGGGCAGAGGTGGATCACTGGGGCCAGCAGGTACAGCCCCATCCTTACTGGCAGCCGTGTTTATTTTCCACACCATCTCCACCCATAGCTTCTGATTTGATCCCCAGCCTCTGGGGCGAATATCTGGTTTGCCTCACCGCTCACCCTGGCGCGCCAAGCATCTGCCTCCACATGCCACCGGAGGCCCCAAATCACAGCAGGAAGCCCTACCGTGTCCCCAGCCTGCTGACCACAGAATCCCCAAAACTTAGCAGAACTGCCTGTTCTCATCACCCCTCTCCTCACAGCCGGGGCATCATTAACTACGCCACTTCCATAGTTCAATTTTAACAAAATTATATGTCAGGCCCGGGCTGGGCACCAAGGAACACATAGACGCTTCCTTCCCTCAAAGATCATTTTGTCAAGAAAGTATGACACACCAATAGAACACAAGAGAATAAAAAGTCATTTAAGCCAACGGTCAAAATGTGTGAAAGTTCATCCTCAGTTATATTCCTTCTGCTATAATTAGCAGCCACAGCCTCCTGAGACCCAAGCATCCTCCATAAAACGGCCCCATCCCCCTGCCAGGAGAAAGGCTCCCTTGACTTCCTAAGCCAGGTGTCACAACCCTACCTCCCTAATTAACAGTTGGGCAATTTGTACAAGTCCTTCAACTAAAAGAGAAACGATGACTCTGTGCCTTTTAACCCCTCAGGAGGTGTGGGGGGATCCTCAAGTATGCCTATAGGAAGGGGGCAAGGTCAGATACTGACCCCCTTAGCGAGCCGGGGCATGTGGGCACGAAGGGGTCCCAGCAACACAGGCAGCCCGTAAAGACACCAAACAAACAAACACACACTGCCCGCTCCGTTCCACAACATGAGCCCTGCCATCATTACACCCCAGACACACACGATTAATATTTAAACCATCACATGAGCCAAAGAGTAGGAATACAGGGCTATTTGGCTGGACTGACACACAAAGAGTAAAATTCCCTCAGCACTTTGGGGTTCGGCTTTAGGTATCATTGTTAGAAACAAATTGATAGGTACACGCCAAGTGCAGTCTTCAATCTTGTCAGGGACAACTAAGTAACAGTTATGAAAGAACGCAACAACAATGTGAACAGGCAGCGAGTGGCGGTTCATTCCAATCTGTTTACTAGAAAGGTTTGGACAGAACTGTCCAGACTCTGCCTACAGAGTGAAGGACTCAGACACCTCCCTGCCAGACCAGTTCCTGACAGGAACCTCAATTCCTACTGACACGGAGGCAACCTGATCCCCTCCCTGGGCCTTTCATGTCAAATGTCTTGCCGAATGACTTAAGGGCCCTGGAATTTCCTGACTCCAGTGATTTTCGTGTCAACCCTCATAACCTGGGAGCACGTCCCCTGCACTCCTTTCTTGGCCCTGGGTTCGGTGGCCAGGACACTGCCAGGCACTTCAGGACATAAGACAAAGCCACAAGTCCTGCGGAAGATAACATGGCAGGACGATCACAGGAGAGCGGTTAGGGTAGGTGAGGGGCAGTGAGAGTGGTGTGGCTGGAGGACCAGGTTGCAGGCCCTGAACCTGTAGCCAGGAATCGGGGGGACGGGGGGGCAGGGGGGGAGGACAGGGTGCTGGGGAAGAGGTCAGTCACAGAGCCACATGAGGGACCCTTCCAAATACTTTGATATTTTGTGCCACTCCTCCGGGTCAAAACAAACCATTAAACGGGCCCTCG